CTGGGGCCGCGCAGTAGCCAAGGCGAGCACTTCGAGAAAATGTTCGATTCCCTCTCGGATGTGGATGAAGGCGCGTCGTGCTCACCCAGTCTGTCTCCAGCTCCTCGCAGGCGCGCGCGAGCAGCGTCGACTTGCACTTGGACGCGTCGGCGGGGTCCGCCAAGTTTGCTCGTGGAGAACTCGTTGGCGGCATCCTCAACCGCGCGGCGAATATGATGCGCGGCAGCGCCTATAGCGCCGCCCAGCGTAGCTTGCCCGCCTAGGGCGGCCGCGAGGCTACCGACTGTGCCCCCGCGGACGAGAGACTCACGAGGAGGGGCTGGCGGGTGGGCCCGGGCTGTTCGAAATCCAGTGCGCGCGTAACCAGGCCGAGGAAGGCGCCGGTGCCCTCGTCGTCGCCGTCGTCGGAAATGACGTTGTCACGATCGTCTGCGAGGCGAGCACCATGGCGAGACTCGCTAGGACCAGCGCTGACAGCACCAGCGAGACCAGGCGCAGAAGGAGCATCTCCGCCCTTACTGGTGATCTGCAGGAGCACAAGGAGCGTTAGGAGCACGACGCCGACCCTTGAGCTTCTACTTGACACGAGGCCTAGGTCCTTCGCTGCGAGACCGCTTGCCCATGTGTCGCGGGGCAGATTGCCTAGGAGAAACGGGAAACTCCACCGTCTACTTACCCGACCGTCTGCGAGAGGCGGGCCTTGCCCCCCCAGGAGCTCACAGGAGGATGGAAGCGGAGGAGGGGGGGCTCAGACGCCGTCAGTGCCCAGGAGGAAGGCGGACTGACTACTCGCCTGAAATATATAATGGCACCGGCCTTGCAGGACGTGCTGCAGCGGATTTTTGCGTGGACTTATGCGTGGGTTTCTGCGTGGATTTCTGCCCGAAGCGGCGCGTGAAGAACGAAGTGGATGTCGAGTGGGTTTTTTCTGGTCTTCATTCCTGGCCAACAAAAATCCGCACGACATTCACCTCGAAATCAGGAACGAAATTATCCAGGACACCCTGGGCCCACCCTATCGTTTTCTGGACGAAATTCGCTGTGCGATGTTGGCGCCATGACAGATCCCCCACACCCAAGGTGCAGTTTACCCAGTCTTGTGTTCACGCGTTTGTGCCGCAAGTTTGAGGATTGGTTCGCAGTCAAGAAAAGGCGCAGGCTGACGATGACAGGCCCTCAAAGGATGAAGCGGTGCTCCTGGGGGCTGAGGCGGCCCCGCTCCAGGAGCCCTTGTGGTTGCATGGGCTGCGTTCGTTACTTTGGTAGGATGCTTGCAAGCACCCCCGTTACCTGTTCTGGTTTTTGACCATCCAAGTCGGGCAGAAAAGGGTCATAGGCCGAGATTATCCTGCCGGACCATGTTAATAGCAAGCTTGTTGCCCCCGCTGGGTGCACGAAGTCCTTCCCAACCTTCTTCCTGGAGCAAGTCGGTTGTGCCAGGAACCATCCGATGAGTCTCAGGAGGGCCGTCACCACTGTCATGACCAACCGACGGTTCTGGCATCGTGACTGGTGCCACGTGCAGGAGATGGATGAGGGAGCTGTGTCGGCTTGGAGTGGAAGCTGGCACCAAGGCTTATGTCTGCTACGAAAGCCTGTGTTTGCTACGAAGGCCTGCCTGTTGGCGTCAGTTGTGGCAGTTTGCACGGAAGTCCCCCTGTCAGTTGTGGCCTGTGGCTGCTACAAGTGTTCCGGGTGCTTCTTCAAGAGCGATGGGTGGACCGCTATGCGAGACCTGGTCGACAGCACGTTGTCGAGATCGAAGGGATGACGGGTCCCCGACCCATTTTTCGTTAGTTTTGCCGTGGAGGCTGCAGGGGCCCTCATGGACGGAGAGGAAGCATATTGCAATGGGTGAGAATCTCCTCCGCACGGCCGCCAGGTTTCTCGTTGCATGTCGTGCGTCAGGAGCAGGAGCAATCATGCAGCACCCAAGGGTTGCTCGGAGGGAGGGGGCGGCTTCCAGCTGGAAGCTCATGGAGTTTGCGTGGATAGCATCCTTGCGCGCCTATGTTTCTGTGAGAGTTGACCAGTGTATGTTCGGAAGCAGGCACGTTCAAACTACGCGGCTGCTCGGAGTGAACACGCCTAGCCTCCAGATGCTCACCAGATGTTGACTCTGGGGGGGTCAGTGTCAGCATCCTGGGGGGGGCTGGCAGCTGTTGGACGATTTGGGAGACTTACCGTACGGCGTCTCTCAAGCAATACCCCCCGTCGGACCTTAACCGCATCCTCGCTTGTGTGCTCCTGGAGGAGTTGCCGCTGGACACCCCCGTGAGGCTCCCAAATGTGGAGATCCAGAACCGGCGACTGGATGGGCTGTGCCTGTGGATTCCGTCATCGACCTTCGCGCCGTCGGAGGCGCGGCCGCCCCTGCTGGCTGATCCGCTGCAGCCTTCTAACTAACACGATGGACGCATCGGTACCGCCCATTCGGTAGTGCACAGCAGCAGGGCGGATCGAGGAGGAGGCACAGAAGGAGGAAGGAATCAACCATTTCCTAATATCGAGCTGGAAGCTTCAGCGCCCTTCGCGCTCGACCGCACAGCGCCGCTCGCGCGGGGCGCGGCGCGCCCGCATGCATCCCGAGCACGCCCTGAAGCAGGTGCGCATCTTCTCCCCGTAGGTCTGGGGGGGCTCGATCACTTCCTCGGCGCGCGCCCCCTCGCCGTCCTCCTCCTCCTCCTCCTCCTCCTCCTCCTCCTCCTCCTCCAACTCCTCCTACAACTCCTCCCCTCGTCGCTCCTTCTGCACCTCCCTCTCCTCTGTTTCCTCCTTTGTCGCCTCTCTCTCCTCCTTCTCCTCCTCCGCCGCCCCATCCTCCTCCTCATCCTACTACCACTACTACTACTACT